CCTCCGGGGTGGTCCCTCCCAGAGGGGTGCTACCGGGGTCAAGGGCCCCGGAGGGCACCTCACGGGGGGTGCTATCAGGAGACAGGGGACTGCAATCATCGGCGACATCATTCTCACCCCCTTGCTTTAGCGGAGCAGAGGATGGCAGCACAAAGCCCAGAGTTTGCAATGTGTGGACATGTTCTGAGCTGAGAGCGCACGGGTCCCGAATCGTGAAACCCACCAGCAGGACACGGTCGCCGTGCCACGGCTCGGTCTGATGAAAGCACGTGTGAGCCATGAGACGTTGAGGTTGTTGTGCAACGTCCAACAAGCAGCCCGGGCGGAGCTCACCGCGCACTTCACGAAAGACGAGTCCTTTGGCATCCTCGACCCAGACGTGGCCCTGATCGAAATTTGACAATGCGAGGAGCAAGTTAGGAAAGGGGGCATTCCGGCTGTCACGATGCATCTCTGCTTTGCAATTCAAGAAAATCGCGAAAGAACTGAATACCTCGCCTGGGAAGGACGAACGCAGCAATTTGGTGAAGCATTGCAAGGACTTTGGGAAAGCCGCGCAGCTCTGCCGCAAACCGTGGAACGGGCCTTTCCGGAAGGCCCCTCCGAAGAAAGCCTGTCCTGAAGAAACCTTTTCACCTTGAGCAGCTGGATGCGGCGCTTCCAAGGGCAGCAAATGGAAGAGGGCCTCAGCATCATGGGTTGTGATGCCCGAATCTCGTTCAAGGAGGAATGCTGCAAAAGCTTCGGCACCTGCAAAACCTTGGTCAGTGGACCGATGGTCCGAAGCGAACGCACAAGACATGTCAGCAAGTTCCTGGAAGAAGGGTTTCGGGAAGGGCTGACTGGTGGCCCAATCAGCACCCTTTCGGCCCACAGCATTGTGATGAACATGTGGGCAGCGGCCCAATGGTCCTGAGTAAAATCCTTGCAAGTCGAATGTGGGCCAAGCGAGGTCCGGAGGCTCCACACTCATGTTCGATGCGATCCGCGTAGGATGCGGCGAGGCCGCCCCATACATGCACATGTGCACAGCCCATGTGGATGACCTCGTGCACTCCTGTATTGCATTCCGCACCTCAGGCCACTGCCAAATGCTAGCAGGTACGTCCAACGATTTAAGTTTGCCCAAGTCTTCTGGATGCACCAAAGTCCAACCTAACCCAAGTTCCGAAGAAACCCGAAGCAGCTTTAAACACTGAGTGACAAGAAAGTCCTCGGCTGCAACGGCTTCCGACATCTGTTTGCTCAACCAAGGGAACCCATGAGGAAAATTATTGCTCCGGCAAGGCTTCGGCCCACTGCGCGAGGGGCCACTGTGTCATGGAGTCGTTAAGCAGGGGGGCTCCAGGGTTACTGCAGTTTTGGGGTGCAGTCGCAAAAGCATTGAGAACCGCTTGGCTCGGAGGTTGAGTGCCCCCAACCTAAACAACTTAAAACACTTAAAACCAGGACTTGCGAAGCTTGAGGTCAGATAGGTACCACTGCCCCAGAGCCCTGCCACTGATGTTTTCCGCACGCCATGTCTGAGCCGCAGTCGACGCCATACGACACACTGAGAGCCTTGGTCCATTGATTTGCCCATTGCGGGGTCCCGGGGCTGTGTTTTGCGGGAATTCGGCTTCTCTACGAAATCCATATTGTCGTTGGCATAATTTGTTTGCGCCGTTGCATTGCTTAGTGTATGAACCTAAGGATATGTGCCATGCGGCACAAACCATGGGTCCTTGCATGTGTATCCTGCACGGCAGCGTGGTGTTTGCAGCGAGTGGGTGCTGTATTCGGTAATTGGCATTCAGAGCGAGGATGCAAGTGACGTGCCGAAGTTGCAATCGACCGCTCGTTGCTCGTCTCGACTCCATACCAATTTTCTTTCTGTCTTGAATAGGTGTCGTCGTCATTTACATTTGTTATGCTAGGTTATCGTTGATGTTTTCAACAGTGGCCCCTAGGAAAGCAAAAGAGCACGTGCTTGCAGAGCTGGGCTGACATGCACAGACGTCTCTGGCCAGGTGCCATCCTTGCTAAAGCCACTCACTGCCGGAAAGCCTAGGGCAGGAACTGGTCAATGGTTCTCTGAGCAGACGGTTCCGACTGGAATCATGATGGCGATTTTGGCTTTCGGCTGTAGTGCCCCGAAACGCAACCCTGCGTACAGAGCCCTGGCAGCGCAAGCACTCATCGCGCTGACACATCGTGTTTGCCATGTCGGGACATTTCAGGTTACAGTTGTCCCTATTGGTCACGACGTGCCAATTAGGTGGGATGTGCCTGCATCTACCATCCTTCCGGTTGCTGCATACTTGAGCAACCCAGCACTCCGAACCAAGTTCACTGAAGAATGGGGATGGGCTACGGAGGAGCACGATAACTAACAAGGCTTAGTCATAAGTGTGGGATGGAATTATTTCGAGAATCTCGGGGATATATAACTTAGTCATTGGCAGTGTCGGCCCAAATGCCAAAGGCTCTGGAGTGAATTTCCCGCCAGGACCCGAAAAAGCCGTACATGATCGGAACGAGTGCCGCTCAACCACCCCTGGGCCATCTCTTAGCCTTTGCATTGGATCCGCTGACTGGCTGCACTACTGTACCGGGTTCGTCTCGGCGGTTCGGTTGATCTGTTCATGTTACAGTGCTGGGCCCCAGTGGAGTCTGATGTCGTATGTATTGAACACGTACTTTATTATTATTCGGATGGGACGTCAATCAAAGGCCGTATCAATTCCGATTTCCCACCCTGATCCCCGATCCAAGCTTATGAGGTGTCGGGACTCTGGCGAGGACGGCGTGCAGGAGCTATCCGGAATGGCTTGCAGCATCCTCACGCAAATATCCAGCTTCCTTGCTTCTAGACCGAATACGAACTAACTACCAACAGAACAGTCAATCAGTGTTTCGGGTTTCGGATGACTAGGTAGATTCGATGACGGGGCTCGTGGTACGACATGAAGCTCCGGTCTTTTCGCAGTTTGTGGAGGGAGTCTGATTACAGAATATATAACTAGTTCTCATGAGGGCTTTTACCATTACAGGCTTCGCTTCCTTACTCATTTTGCCACGGTCACAGATTCCATTGATCCGACTCACGATTCGACTGATCAGAGACTGGGCACTCAGGAAACCAACTTGGACGACGTGTGTCGTGGAGACAATCCACTCAAGAGAGGGGATCAGAGAAAGAGGCAAAGGATGAGTCTGTTGGATTCATTCCGGATTGCTGATCGAGTGGTGAGCGGCCAGGACAGTCGTGTATTACTAACCTGTGGATTCGTGAGCGAAAGTTGTTATTATTATTATTATTATTGAATTATTACTCTTGCTGCACGAGAGTCGTCGGAGCTGCCATTCAGGACCACTTTCCAGCCAAAGCCGTGGAGGTGGTGGTCCCTCGGGCTAAGAACAAGGCCCACACGGCGATCCATGCAGCCCAGTCGTACTTGGCACCCTGACTTAGCTTTTGATGCAGCATTCGCATGCATGTCGTTGGTCATGTCTGGGACTTTCACTTGTCAGTATGCTGGTTTACCTACATGATTCGATGACGATTGATATGAGCTTGAACATGGCTGGCTGCTGCTGGTGTCTCTTGCACAAGCAAGGTGTCCCACCTGGATCTGTGCCAGCAGCGGCTGGGCGACCAGAAGCACGTCCATGCCCACTGCTTACCGAATCACAAGCCAGTTCCGACTGTGTGTTGTCGGTATTTAGAGTGTCTCTGTCTGCAGCCGGGGATACCCTTGTTAATGAACGACAAACTCGGAAAAGCTCCCAGTGCTGATTCCTGCTGGGCGTCGATTCAGGTCATGTTCGACGGGAGCAGCATTGCCCAGGCGCCTACCGAGCTTTACCATTTCCACTGCCGTGACCCTACTGACCAAAGACAGACAGTCACTGCCAAAACATTCACTAGCATGTATGGATGAGATTCTGGTTATCAATCTGATTGCTAGGTACTGGCTATGCGATTCTGCGTATGTTGTTTTTCGTCGATAGATCGGATGACTAATGTTAGTTGCGAATCTTTGAGGTCCAGCCATCAACCGCGGCTCCCATGCGCCTCCGTTGGCCAGGGCCTTGTCCATGGCGGCAGAATCCGTCAATTGCGTGCTGCAGTACCTGAGTCAGTTCTTGGAGAGTGAGTGAGTGAGCCAGCTGTTAGTTAGTTAGCTTGTTCCGAAGATGTGACATTCATTCTTTGCCATCTGATGTTGCAGAGGGTCTCTCAAGTCAAAGTCGGAGGAGCCCTGACCGATTTCAATTTCGTCAGCGAACCATAGCAGTGCAGTACTGACTAAAATTAAGGTTAGGTTGGGTAGCTTAGGTGGAGCTATGTGAGTCAGGTCAGGTGGGGGTTGTGAGACTGTCGTACACCATTCTATTAAATAATTAGTCCTGAGCCTCAGACAAAAACAAGCTCAGACCAGAACTGTGAGACTCAGTAACACTGAGTCGTCAGTTTGTGATGATGATGGCCTACCCTATGGCAATGGACATTGACATGGATTTCAGCAACTGTTGCACTGACCGGCCGACGAACTCCAGTACCCTGCCGCTCACTACTAGCTCTGCTTCCACTATGATCAGCTCAGAACCGTCTGTTTGCTGTGAGGACGGACGGGGCTTTATATAATATTTGATGCGTAAATTAACTTGTCGTCTGGTGAGTGATGCAGCAGAGTTCCCGAAAGGAGTCGGAGGCGAGCAAATCTCGACTTCAAGCGGCTGCAACTTCAATGGCGACGGCCTGGGATGTGGTGAAAGATCACTTGGGCCCAGCCTCTCTGCAGGCTTGTGGTGTCAAACTAAACGACAAGCCTCAACTAAGTACCTCAAGCATCCTCCTCATGGACTAAAACTCGCCATCAGCATAACCTCAAACGTATGATAATCCATTCTGATAAGTTAGCCTGTTAAGTTAAGTTAGTCTATTGGTTGGCACCCAAACGATACAAACATTGCCTCAGGACAGCTACCTCCTGCAAGCACGGACGGCGTTCAGCATGTGTAGTGGGGCACTGACTGCTGAGATGTCCAGAGCTGTTTTACAACAGTACGTGCGAGCGACTGGATACGACATGAACATTCGGACTGTGGCACTTTGGGCTTCTTGTATGCAGTGATGTTCGCATTACTACTTCATTTTTGCGGCGATTGGATGTTCGGGGGAAATAATTATTATATTTAGCTTTGTGCAGATGTTCATTATTTTTAATACGTTACATGGGATTGACCGCCTGACTGACTGACTGGGTCTAGAACTATTTATACGATTATACCACCTGATTTTTGTTTTATAGTTTATAAAACAAAAGATCAGGTAGTATTTACTGAGTTTAAATACTATGTAAATAACAATATTTATTTATTTCCTCCGACTTCTCAGATTCTCTCAGGAGTGGAGTGAGAAGTGTCACCCCCTGATTGTCAACAACCTTCGGTGGTGTCAAGAGGTTTCTCATTCTCCCTTCGAGCACCCCCACATCTTCTCGGACATAGAGGCATTGAACCCGACTTCTTGCAGAACCCACACCACCTACAGTTCGAAGAAGAAAGCCATCATGAACAGTGGGCTGCAAACGTGGTCTCCGTGCCTCAACTGCTGCGACCCGTTGTGCAATGTGCCGGCTGCAGATTTCGGTGTCAGCGGGCTTCCTTGCACGGACATGTCGCGTGCAGGGAAACAGTTGAAGCGTCACGGGCCTACGAATGGAGTGTACATGACGCATGCCAAGTACAACAAACATATGCGCACACCCTTGCTGGTAGTGGAGTGTGTCCCAGATCCACGGCTGAAGTATTAAGTATTATTATTTACACATCATTAGTAATTTAAGTTAAGGGTTGAAACATGATTTCCGCACACAGCCAATTAACTATAATAACTAAACAGAAAAGGTTTCTACACTAAGCCTAGGCCGAATTAGCCTTAGCCCTGAAATTCAACCCGTATCAATCAAACCCGAAGCCCTGTCATATAAGACCTCAACCCAAATACTCCAACGATACGACCCAGGAGCTCGACATGGACATGGTGCAGCAGCTGCACATGCCAGACTATGAGTGGTTCCAAACATGTTGTGAACCTGCAGATGTCGGCTACTCTGCGACTGCAAGGGCTCGCTTGTATTGCATTGGGGTGCATCAGAGCAGGACGTCCATCCTCAAGGACCCATTGGAGCTGCATGACTTGGTTCGTGGCAGGATCAGGGCAGTTGCCCGCACCTTGCCCCAGGACTACTTGGTGGCCAGCACAGCTGAAGTGCAGCTGGAGGCGCAGGAGATGTCACGCCGCCGAGGCATCCCGTATTGCCCGGCTGCGACAGACCTGCGGTATTTGCTCACAGCGAGGGAACTCGAGGCTGTTGACACCTACTCCAAGGAGTACTTTCACAGATACGGGGTTGACCCTTCAACCCAGGATGGGCTTTTCTTCTACCTGGGAGACAACCCTAGCTACTCCTTGCGCTGGTCGGCAAATGGAAGACTGCCAACCCTCAGGACAACTAACGGTCTGATGTGGTCAGCGAAATTCAGGCGGTGGCTGACAGCTAAGGAGCGACTGGTCAGCATGGGCTGGCCTGTGACCTCGGAGCTGGCTGGTGCAATGGCTGTCCCAGTGATCCCCGCGATGGATGTGAAGAGGGCCAGTGACCTGCTCGGGAACTCGATGCATTTTCTGAACACAGGAGTGCAGCAACTAATTGCACTCAGCTGCTTCGGGCCAGAATGTCCCAGCATGTGCTTTTGAGTGTGTCTCAGAGTTTTTATTGCTGATACACATGGTATCTAGTTAGAGCTTGAGGAACCGGTGCTCATACATTGTGTGTGTGTGTGTTCTCAATGCCATTCTTAATCTTACAATAATGACAGTGCCGTTTGACTTGAAAAATGCTACACACTAAGACCTAAGACATCCGTCGTTTAGATTGAAACAGGTTCCGGACTGTATCGTCGGATGTCAGCAGCCTGACACTTCCGGCATGCGGACACGAGCACAGGGCTCAATGAACACCAACGTCGACTTGTACAGACAGCTGTGATGTAAGACCAACGAACATACCGCATACCCTTGAAAAGTTTGGCAAAGTCAGTTTTGATTCGTCAGAGCACAGACAGACAGTGAAACCCTGCAAGGTTCGGCGCATTTGAGACTGAGATTCTGCTTGAGATGTGCTGTGTGGGAGTTTGATCAATGCAATGTAACATAAACTTTGGCGTGTTCGCTTCATTCTGTTCAGTTCAAGCAAGTGAAGTGACGGCCAGCCTGCCTGCGTGGCACTGTGGTGCTGTGATTGAATTCACGGCCATGGATTCCAGGATTGTGCTGCACGATGAAGATTTCGACGCTGCCGAGGCAGTGAGTGACTCGAGTTCGGAATCGGTGTCGGAGAAGAAAGACAAGCGTGGCAGGACTAAGTCGAAGAAGAAGGAGAAAAAGAATAAGCAGAGCTCCAAGCCCCGCAAGACTACATCCGAGAGTATGTCCACCAAGATTTCCGTTTGGAAGAAAGTTCCGGTCGGGGACCTAAAGTTTAAAATTGTGTCCTACTCTTTAGCCAGTGGGTGGGACGGGACGGGGGTGGGGTGTAGTCCAGAAACGGCTCGACTCAGGTCGACCACCTGAAAAGGTTCATCATGAAGCTGGGAGTGACGGAAACCAACGAATCGTACCTCAACACCCTCCCAGAGGGTTTCATCAGGAGAGCTTTCTTCGGACTGTTCGGCAAGGCCGCGAGTATGCCTATTGATTCGTGCCCTTGGCTCGCGATTGTGTGTGTATTCTGTTTGGCATTTCAATTTCGATTCTATTCTAATGTCCTGTGTCATCGACTACTGAACGAACCTGACTCTGACGCCTCAGGCACAACTGCAAAATACAGGCAAAGCACCTCATGGACGAGTACACACGACTCGGTCAGAAGTTGGCTGACGGCAAGACGACATTGGTGCAAATTGTGGAGCAGGTTGAACTCGATAAGTCGAAGCAGACAACCTACGTAGTGAAAGACAGCCCCAATGGCCCGAACGGTTCCAGCCAGTTTTTGTGCAACGTTACCAAGCAGCAGTCGTGGTGGCTGCCTGCCACCTCCCGCTACAGCACCACGATTCATCTTCGTGAGGATGGGGTGCCCTACGTGCACGACGAGACGAAGAATCAGTCGGTGTTTTGCTATGTTCTGCAAAACACTCTCAGCAAGGCCGCCCAGGCTCAGGGCCAGGCCTCCGCCACATCATCGGCATCGGCAGCACCGCCGCCTTCCGTGCCAAGCCCACCAGCCTCGCCTGTGCCGGCGCCGGGAACCGCTCTGACTCCCTCTATGTTGGCACCGATGGTGGAAGCCCCGGCCCCGAAACTGGGCAACACAACCCAGGGATCAGTACCACTGCCAGGGGCTATTGCGGCTGCAGACAGCGCTTCGACGGACTTTATTACTAGTACGGGTCACTCCTGGTATTCAACTCTGAGAGACTTAGACTGTTTGTAACTATTGAATAGTCGAAGTCAGTTGTCTATTAAGCTCTCATCGAATCTTCAATCTCAAATCCGTGACATGTCTCAGTATTCGGCAGCAGGTGAGTCGGGTGCAGGCCGTAATTGTCAATTGCTACAGCACCTTCCGGAGTGGATTCTTCGTGTGCTTATTAGTTCGTAAGTGTTGGGGTTGTGACACAGTTTCAGGTCCAGCAAATTTAACGGGATGGAAATGCCGTTGATACATCCATAACTTTGTTTAATAATAACCGAACTGAGGATATAGTATATAATATAACAGGAAATACAAACACTAAACTTAATCCTGCGTTTACACATTACTCCATTCTGGTTCCCGTTATCCTCAGGTTTCAGAGCTGGAACAAACTATCAGATAATTCTATTAGAGCATTATCAAACTGATTGATAGCACGAGCCAGCCTTCGTGCTCGGGCGGGTTTTTGATTCTCTCTCTCTCTCTCTCTCTCTCTCTCTCTCTCTCTCTTTCTCTCTTTCTTTCTCTCTCTCTCTCTCTCTCTGCCGTGCCATCATCAAGAGTCTCGCTTTTGACCAATCGTAGCTACAGGCACTACTTCTGCGATATTGACGGGTTATGTGCTTCTCGTCCTTAGTAATAAGATTGATACCATGAACAATGTGAGGTTGCAACACTCTGAACTAGTTCGTTCATATATCTCAGAACCACAGAGAGTACGTTTCACGTCTGTCGCCGAGGTGCACGGATGCCGCTGAAGGAAGGCCGAAGGCCAGTGTGTGCCTGTGGGCACGACCGTGCCACGTGTGGGCAGTGTGGCAAGGGTTGGTTGCAGCAGCTGCAGCAAGGGATGCTGCCTAGCCTGTCAGGACCGGGGTACTTCAAAGGGGGGGTGCAGTTGTCAGTTATTTTGTTTGCACTAATTGCCGCATCATGCATTTCAAAAAACCAATATCAGAATGATCAGTCAATTCCTGCAATAGAGAATCCTGTACTGTAATGGATAACCTGTGACTGGGCGCCGAAACCCCTGAGCTGCAATAAGTTCCCGCCCAACATTACGTAACATGGCAACGTTTACTGATGTTAATCCTTCATCAATCAGGATCCGCCCCGGGCCAGCCGGCTTCGATTCCTCTCCCAGGGCCGACTCCGACTGGGCCTCCGCCTCCATCCTCGCCGGTGCCAGCAAGCGTGCCCCTCCCTGGTTTGAGCCCCTCTGGTGTCACACAGGCCCCAGCTACTGTTGGAACGACTTCACCGGGACCAGCTGTCGCCGCCACACTTGGCCCTGCTCTTCCGAACTCGCCCAAGCACGCTCCGCGGGAGCAGCCGCAAATGCCAGAATCGTCATCCAGCAGTGAGTCCGAGGACGAGGACTCATGATCGTGGTCGGTTGTGTGCCGGTAGCAGTCAAATATCTAAGGAGAATCTACTCTAAGACTTAAGGTCATGTCATGGTGTTCGGTATAGCTCGCGAATCCCTCTTAAGTCGTACCCAATCATGAATATCTGCTGGGTATCTCCTGGACTCCTGCCTATCTTAGGCAACATACCGAAGCACTGAGATCAAAACCCAAGCCTTACTGCTTGCGGAAGACTGTCGCAGACTTTACCAGCAACAGGTTGAAACATGTTACTTCATTGTTCTCGTCCTCGAGCCTTTGTCCGAGCTGTCCTAGCTATCGAAAAGCAAAGGTACTGTAGTATACATGTGAACTCGTTAGTTACATTACATTTGTCTGTGGCAGGAAATCACGGAGTTCAAGATCTTCAAAGAGCCTGGCACGAACAAGATGGCCGTCAAGTGGATCCACCCCGGCAAGGGCGAGCTCATCCAGCACCTTCCGTATCCCCATGCCAACGACTACAAGCTCCACCGTTGCAACGAGGAGTGCAGGGGCTGCAGGGCCATTAATTACATGATTAATGAATAGTCTACTAAAAGCTATAATAATGGCTATGTTCTGAATTCGAGGTTTCAGTCAGTCTCTCTTGATAATCAATCCAGAATCAATGCATTGGACTAAGACTAATCGAGTCACGGGGCCCGGGGGTATTGTAATTGTATAACTAACTCTACCAACATCCAGCACCTACACACACAACAAATCAACGAATACACACTTAAGGATTATCATTATCCGAACCAGATAGTAAAATGCCGATGGATGATGTTGCCCCCACACACACACACAGACAGTACAATAGCGGAAACTCGCATATTAATACTCACCTAACCCACATCCAAACCTTTTCCCAGGCCCTCGCCCACTGACACACCCGCCCACCCTCCTAACCACGCTTACACCTAACCCACACCCCACCCACCGAACCCTCCGCCGACACAAACCACCCACCCACAAACAACCCACCCACCCACAGCCACCACCCACAGCCCACCCGCCCACCCACAACCCACCCACCAACACCCACGTACGTACCGGCCCACCCACACCAACCCACACAGGCACACACCCACCCACACACACAGACAAACCCACAGACACACACACACACACACACACACACCAGACACCTGACATTGTGCATATTATTTATAATATATATATATATATATATATATATATATATAGAAATACACACAGCAGGGTGTGGGGCAAACATGGACGTAAGGAATCACAATCGGGATTGTTTGGACTATCGGGTACAGCTGGATCCTAAGCAATGCCATGAGCTCCTGCTTGCACATCACTAAAACAATCACCAGCTACTCTTCAATTAAACCGCGACAATGCCCTCAGCTACTGAGATTAAATCACGACGAAATCCTACTACGAATGAGATTAGATCATCGGTGCTGTTAATATTCTTGTTTCTTATTATTGGTTCAACGGTTTACTATACTTGGTTCTGGTGGTTCTGGATTCTGTGCTTACTTTATTCTCACCGACTCAGACCCAAGAGCTTTGTGAAGTGCCTGTGCTTTCCGTTTCCTAATTAGATTTCATAAAACTAATCATCATAGTTACATACAGTTCATTCCTTTTCAAAAACCCCCCAGTGCATCCAGTCGTAGCTGCTACGTATTTAAAGTTTAGGGTGGCTGACTCAGACAGAAACACACGACTTAATTCTGGGTTCTGTCGTGGCCGTGGCATTACTCACTCACTCTGAGTTATTCTATCTGCCTGTGCCCCTGGCAGCATGCTAGTACTTATTGTTATGATCCATAATAGTGTCCTCCAACGTCTCTGGCAGGAGGGGAAACACTACGGGGAAATCTTTGCGGCGTCGAAGTCGTCAGGGCCGAAGGCCTCGATATGGCTTCCGAGGCTCTTCCGTTCCTTGGTGCGTGTCAGCAGCAACCCCAAATCGGCGTCCGAGGATTCTGAGGCCAAGGAGTTGGCCGAGTTGAAGGCGCAGAAGGAGAAGCTTGAGTTGCTCCGCCAGCGCCGGGATGAGGCGCAGAAGGCAAAAGACGATGCAGAGAAGCAGAAGCAGCAGGAGGAAGCGGCGATGAAGAAGGCCAAAGACGATGCTGAGAAGAAGCGGGCGATCAAGGAGGAAGCGGAGAGAGTCCAGCAAGAGCTCGAATTGTTGGAGGCCGAGGAGAAGCTGCGGAACACGCCAGGCGCTGTGGGGCCACTCACCGCGGGTGACGATGACAAGGCGAAGGCCACGGCGGTTGAGGACAAGGGCGACACGACGAAGGCCGACGAGAATGAGAAGGTTGTCCCGACCCCCACGGGTCCCGGTCCCACGGAGAAGAAGCCGGTGACGGACCCCAAGCGCAAGCACACGAGTGACACCGAGGCCACACAATCATTTCATGCTGGACTCTGAATTCATTAAACCCTAACAAGCTTACTTGAAGCAGAACTATAAGCCCCCAACGTGTTTGGTTTCCTGGAAGTCGGGTTCTGGTTTATTTAAATTAAATTAAACTACTATTACACCCTAGGTTTCGTGTTCCTGCCTGGCGGTAAAGTAACGTATACTAGTTAGACATAAGTTTCTGCCAATGCAACGGAATCGAATGGTTCAGGATCCCAAGCAGAAGAAGTTGCAGCTGGCCAAGGGCAAGGGCAAGCCCACACCGTCCGAGGCCTCGACGGCTGAAAGTCTGAACTCGAAGTGAGCTGCTGAGAGCTGAGACTGAGAAGCCGCAAGTGTGGGGGGGTGGGGGATCTTTCAGCTAACATTGGTCACGAGGTTCCAACAAACAGCAAACTAGAATGTGACCATTCATACATACCGCATTTCGAGCTCTACGGTTCGAACATGTCTCTTGTTCTTTTGAAGTGAATTTAGGGTAGATTCCACAGGGCCAACTGTAACGTAGCCAGCCAGCACCTAAGAAACTTTGGGATTGGGAAGAAAAATCTAAATTTTGTATATATATATATATATATATATGTATATATATATATATATATATATTAATTATATACAGCCCCACAACAAAACGGGGCCATGGAACAGAACAGAAGCCTTCCCGAAGCTTTCCAGTATTCACCCGCCCCAGACAGAAAAGGCACCTGTCCACCAACAGCCGTGCCCAGAACAGCCTCCAGACCCCCCAGAGACCCCTCCAGGAAGGGCAGGAGGTGCCCAAAATGTGCCCCCGAGAAGCCCCAGGAGGCAGCCTCCAATCGACCCCAAAACGGCAGCCAAAAGTGCCCAAAAGTGTGGCCCTGCCGAGGAAAACGGACAGCATTACTGCAAGGACTTTGTTCTCCTTTGCTCTCCTTTGCTCTCCTTTGCACTCCTTTGCACTCCTTTGCTCTCCTTTGCTCTTCTTTGGCCCTCCTTTGCTCTCCTTTGCACTCCTGTCCTCTCCCTTGCTCTCCTGTGACATCCCATATCTCTTCTTTGTTCTTCTTTGTGGGGCCGTTGTTCGTCTCAACTCTTCTTTGTCTGTATGGTCATTTCGGTTGATTTCGGCCCGAAACTGGCTCGGTACTCCCGCACGACGGCATCTCACGAGAATCTTGATTGATCCTTTGGTCAGTCAGTGGCCGGGGCCAGTAGTCACCAAAGTGCTTTCTAAAGTAATGGGGCTCGGGACTCAGCTACCTCCCGGCCATTGATTGGCTTCACGGGTGAACCGGGCACAACGGGTTCACCTTACCCACCGCACGGTGGGGCCGTGGTCCGGCCGTGTGTGGGACGGTTCGGCTTATCATCGTACCAATGATATAGTAATAGTGGCTGACCACTCACCGTTGGGCATCGGACAAATTTATTAACCAGGTAAAGTACTGTTTGCCGATATATCAGATAATATTTTGTTGTACTAATAGCAAGCTAGATGTCGTTCCACGGTCCGGCCCAGACTCGAGATCACGGTTGCGGACTGAAACAATGCTGCGTCAGGGTCTGTACTTGTGCTGGCCAGTGAATTCAAATCTTGGGAGGCTTGTTCACATTGCTCTCATATCGCTGTCGTTTTCATTCAACGCTTCACCAGCCCTGACTTTGCTCACTCACCGGCCTAAGCTGTGGGGTTTGTGGCTAGTGGCAATGTACCAGTTCGTGATGAAGGAACAAACTTTCCACCACATCGCCAATACCTTGAGTGGATTGTGGCTTTTCGTGATCCTTGACCTGGTCCCAACGGAGAAGAGCAGACGAGAGCCTTTGGGCCAACAGCGCCTCGCAGCCATGAGTGAGGTGTGCTACAATGTTGCCGGCTCCTGTTACGATCTTGACATCGCTGACTGCCTTTACCGGACAGCTGCGCTGCTTGACTCCGTGAAGGACGAAGGGTGGAAGTGTTTGCCACGTGCTGATCATTACCACCCTGTCTACATCGTCGCCTACGGGAAGCGGGAGACAACTGCACCATCCAGTTTCGGTCGTGCCTCCGTGGATGAGGCGAGGCAGCATAAGCGGTCCTGTCAGGAGGCTGCGAGTGATGTCCGGGCTTTGGGCACGTGTCTGGAGGCTAGGCACAGGTCGGACTCCGACATGTGTGGCGTCATCCAGTCTCTGCGAACTAGTGCCGCAGAACTTGACCGAGTATGCATTGGTTTGGCTTGCTTCATCGAGACGACGCTGAACAATGACCCACGAGCTCTCCGAAGCCCGACCTCCATAATGCCAGCCACAGCGAAACCGGCCTAGTGATTGCTGCCTTTAAATTCAAAGTCAGCCTCTCAATGCCAATGTGATTGAATCGAAACTATTGAAAATAGTTAGTAAAACTACAAGTCTAAGTTAAGTAGAATATATAGAATATCGTCCATACCTTTAGGGCTCCTGGGTCCTGTACTCTATGGCCATTGGCTTGAACCCGGTGAATTTTCCGAGCTGAGCTGAGTAGACATTTTCCGTGTCGATTCACTGACAACACAGCTTGCCGCAAGAAATCTGGGAGTGCATCAGTGCATGTAACGAGCTTGTCTGTGAGTGACAGTGACAGTGTCTGTGTGCCTGTGGGCACTGGTGTGTGTGTGTGTGTCTCTGAATCAATCCCTCACTCTCTGCTTCTCACAGCGTCTCAATACTGTATGCACGCAAGTCACGGCTGCCCAGGTCCTGCCGTCCTACGCCTGCGAAGCTGCTGAGTTGCAGAAGCAGCCGCTTGGATTGACGACCTGGTGTGGCAGCCAAGATTAACTCGATTCGTGTCGTGACTCAAAGTTACTTACTTAACTCAACCATACTTCAAGAGATAGTCAGCCTCCAATGTCGCTCCGATCAAACTACTAAATCAGCCAGGCCAACGTTCCATAGTAAGTGTTAGTGACTCAGCTCAGGTCTGCCAGGATCACAATATTCGCACCCCTCTCCGAAACAAAACAAACGCTAAGTTGTCGGAGCCGGTGTGTGCCTTGGGTCGTGCCGCGCTCGCAGCAGTTGCTCAGTGCGCTGGTTCTGACAATGGGGACAGGCCACGACGTCGTAGTATGTGGGAGCAGCCTAAGTCAACGATTTTCGTCATTGAGAGGTCGCTCTGATCTTTTGGCATCAGGGGATCTGAGTTTGGGGGATTGCGGTCAATTGCCCGGGCCAGGGCGTGGGTTTTTGCCAGGTTTCAGGCCTTTGATCTTTGGGTGGCTTAATGACTGTTCTGCTTAAATAGTTGGAAGCATCTACAACTTGTAATTGTAAGGTTCGGTGTCGATCACTATTGGCTTTTCTGTTTATTTGTTCAGAGCTCGTGAAGACTTCTTTTAAATAATATTCTTGTCTTGATTACATTCAATTCAGGTACTCAGGTCCCAGGGCCAAGTTATTCATGAGCTAAGTCAGGGGGGCGGCTAGAGCATTTGCCATACAGTGGTTGGCATCAACGATGGTCTCGTTTCGAACTAGTCATTGACCTGGACATTGCAAGATTCGTTTCAAGTCGGAGGAGTTCACTGAAGACTTACTTGCCAGGGATGTCGGCTTTATCGGTTTTTTTTTCCGAGGGTCGTGCATGCAAGGCAAGCACCCGATGACATAACGTAGACCCCGCAAGCTAGGAAGTAATGCCCTGTCAAATACTCATTTACTTACAGAGTCGGAAGTGCACGTGAGAACCCCTAAATAAATAATAATAATGAACCTTAACTAATCTAGCCTATATACCCCTAACCCTACGAACGAACCCTGCTTCTTAATGTTGATCACGGCACAGGGGCTGGACGGCACATGGTGTGTGTGTGTGTGTGCGTGTATGTGTGTGTGACAACTACAATCATGCAAGTTCCCGTTATCTTGTCCCGGCTCCTCAATGAAACGACCCTGTTTCCGCGAGTATCTCCAAACTTGCAAAAACCAGGCCCGAACCCAAACACAGCATGAAACCTGCCTCGAGTTGAGCAACTACATCATCAATGAATGAAGCCCACATGCCGTTGCGATCAGTAACAATAGTGACCTAGGCATAGGCTAGGGGCTTAAGAGTTTGTTGGAGCTTAACTTACATAGAATAGTAACTTAGTAATAGTATAATACTATTACTATTCTATGTAAGTTAAGCTCCAACAAACTCTTAGTGCAGTCGCCACTGTCAGTGCGTTCGGGTTTCGGTAGCAGCTCACCTCCTCGTGCTCGGTCGTCCTCGCCACAGCAGCAATCCTGGCACACGCAGGCTTTCTAACATTCTAGTTGCTGCAAGTTAAGTAAATTCAAGGTCTTGTGACAGTGCTCCTAGTCAGGGGTCAGGGTCCTAAGCTTCCCTGCCAGTCCCGAAGACAAACTCCAAAGCTGAACCCTCAATTCAGCGGCCGAGCCGTGCCAAGGAACGTGAGTCAGCATGAGCTGGCCGAGCCGGCAGAGATCACCAAGACGACCAAGTCCGTCTTGGGCATCAGAGTGCCTTGGCCAATGGCTATGGGTTTGAAATGAAATGGCTTGCGATTAATTCGAGCTGCCTGGGTCTATCCGTTGACCATTGTCATCAGGACTACCATTGAGTTGCTGTGCCAGATGTTTGGTTGGCTGGTGTAGTCTCTGTCTGAACTGTCCTAATTATTTTAAACTGTTTATGATAAGAGACATATGTCAGGAGTCTGTGACAGATGACATCAATGACTGACACACTAACTTCCGAATAGTATCCCATCCCCAGTCCGAATTTCAACAGTGCTTCTGGTTACAATATGATAAATATGTTACAGACTAATTCTTTGTCTCGAACGTAGACGTAGCCACTGGCGAGTCTGAGAAAGGAGAGAGAGAGAGAGAGAGAGAGAGAGAGAGAGAGAGAGAGAGAGAGAGAGAGAGAGAGAGAGAGAGAGAGAGAGAGAGAGAGAGAGAGAGAGAGAGAGAGAGAGAGAGAGAGAGAGAGAGAGAGAGAGCGAGAGAGATAAGTCTAATGATGTCCAAGGGCTACAATGACAAACCGTGAAAACAAGCAAGCATCCTAGGCAGTGATCCGTGGGTTGCAAGCAGCGATGGTGTGGGTGTTTAACTGGGGCTTGGAGAAGTTTCTGCCCGAGCAGAAACTGAAGCCTGGGGACGAGATCCCACACGTGTTGACGCCCCCGGATGTGGAGGACCGACCACATCTGACCTGTGTGTCTCGGTTCGAATGTGATTAGATGGGATGAACTAGGCTGGAGTGCATAAACACAACTTTGTGTAGCACGACTGACAACTGTATTTGTTCGCACATATATCTCATCCTTTCAATTCTTCCTGGGGTGGTGGATTCTAAGGCCCACAGACAGTGACTGTGTTCGGACGAAAACCTAAGGCTCCGGATGAGGATTGCCTGCCATTCAAGTCGATGTATTCTCTTGCGTATTCGGAGCTTCAAGCCAGAATACTGACTGAACCCGAATACGCCCACCCATCGTGGAACAACGTATTGGCAGCGATTTCCAGGACAGGGCTACAACCCACGTTACTCATATGTACCCTCCTTTCCCACGTAAATCATGGGCCTTGGAAGTCTGGCAGAACCATGATGGTCAAACAAGAAATATGTGCTGACTGGGTGGAGAATATGAGTTCTTCGGAGTGGGAGTCCCTTCGGGAGGCGACCGCCTTTGACCGGAATGTTGGTCTGGACAGCGATGAGGTACCCTCTTGCCCCCGGGACCTCCTTCAAGAGCCAACCATCGCAAGCCGTGGCATATTTGTGCCTGGGCTAATGGGCTAAGACGGCGATTTCAAGTTATGATTACTGACTCACCGATCGTTTCCTTGTTATGGGTTTACACTGCAAATCTAATCTCGAGCTGACAGGCTGTATGTAACACTATATACACTCTATTTTTTAAAGTTTTAATAAAGTAACTAAGTAACTAGCCTGAGCGAGGTCACTGTAAAGTTCAGCTCTGTTTAACTGCTTACTGTTTGTTGGAACGGTCCCAGCCGTGATTCCGACCATCTGAGCTGAATTAATTAATCAACTCCAAACCCAAGTCAAACCGCACATACATACTGGATCCCCGAAGCTAAGTGATCCCAGTGCTGTCTCTCCCAAAACTAAGCTGTGCCGGTAAAGCGGCCACACGGGCCACTCTGCCTTAAAGTCTTAGCTTGAGACAGAACATCGACTCAAACCGTGGAATAGTTGAATATCCTGAATGAAACCTGACACCGCCACAGGCCATGCAGGCATTCGAACACCATCTGAACTGAAGTGTAAGTAGTAGTTACTGAGGTGCAGTGTAGCCCACATGAATGAACGCTTGCCCCGACAATAATCACGAACATCGTTGGAGCCCTGAGGCAAAGAAGAAAAGCTGGTTTGCGGTACTCGCGGCAATGAGGGCCATCGACCGGGATTGGAGCATCAGCTCGGAGGTCCTCACTCGTGCGGAGGCCGGTGTGAAATGGGTTTATAGTATTATAGCTGCCGTCTATTGTGCATTATTGATTAGTTTATTAAAGTTGCGCTAGTTGTCGTTGTTGTAAGTATCCAGCCTGAAATCAATGCATCAAGACGCCTCACCGTGGACCTGTCACAGCTCCACAGAACCGAATTCCCGAACATTCAAGTCCAAAGTGAGTAATGCAGAAACAGCATAATCAATATCACGACGTTAGCACAGTTGTGTTCATTTTAAAAGTAAGGTTCTGGTAATGGTTTAATGTAACACTATATTGTATTGCAATTTGAACATTAGTCTACTAGTATTGTATTAGCTCATCGTAGCACAGCACATTCAATTCAACTACTTTCGTCAAAACAACTCACCTGATGATGACGCTCAGCCTGACTGAGTTCCGAATAATCAAACACACACCACTGTCGTGCGACTTGCTACCGTTGAAAACTTGAAAACGACTACTTACTATAGTTACTGCGGCTGCTGCTAATCTGACTCTGACAACGACGACTACTAACTACTTTCTCATAATTTTCCTGCTGCTGGTGCTGCTGACTACTCCTAACTACTAAGACTTTACTTATTCCTTATTACTACTACTCCGACTCCTCCTGCTGCTGCTGCTGCTGCTGCGGCCACTGTTGACATCTACTTCTGGCTGCCACTACGACGATGAGTAATAGTAGTAGTAGTAGTAGTGCTAGTAGTAGTAGTAGTACCAGTGGACCAGTGCCCCCACCACTACCGCTCCTTGGGCTAGTTATATTTACTGTTACTAATAATTACTGTAATACCATATTACTGCCAGCCAATCTCGAAATTCTAAGTGAGTAACTGGTGCCTTGTGTTAGTTTCGTAGCCGAAGGGATGCCGCCAGTGACTGCGATCCGGAGCATAAGTTAATTCGATTTAAATTGAATACTATGAAGGGGGCAAACTGGAATCTGTGCATGGAGGACCACCCTTCGGTGGTTCGCCCCATTGTCGAATCTGGTAGGGTGTGAATGCCTGGGGCTTGTAATGTACACTGTACAGAACTCAAACCGATGTCCTAGTTTAATCTGCAAACTAGCTGGACGAAGTGTTTAGTTTAGTTACCTAGCAAAACTAAAAATGCTGAACCCACCCCAAACTTTTAACTGCTCTTTGACCTATCGTTCAATTGACAACAAGCTCTGAAACATCGTGCTGCCACGGCCCCAGCCCGTGCCCACCGGCAGGCATTTGATGACCAGGGTGCAGCAGGCTCCGATGACGAGGAGGACGACGAGCAGCCTGATCGTGACTTGGACAGGCCCACAACCAAAGAAGAACTGAATCAGCTACGTGAAAGACACGGCAACAATCGTCGCACGGCAACGTACTTTTACAAGCAGCGCCGGATTCAGATGGAAGCCCGTATCATCTACATCGGGGCAAGGCTAGTGGCCAAAGAATTCGGAGACACAGTGAAGCTGCTGCAAAAGGGACAGGCGTCACGTCCCAGATTGTTAATGCTTTCTTATCTTGACATGTCTGGACTCGACTGACGTATCATTGATGAATTTCGGTCGTAAATGAAACTTACATGTGAAGCTGTATGTTTCGATCATCGCAACTTACTCGACTTGTGATTTCTAGTTCTGCCTCAGGTGCCCTGCTTGCGATGGCAGGCTGCACGGGCTGCCGGCCACACTTGGTTCAGCACGATTCTTGACACTATGCAACTTCTTCACGATGCGGAGGTTCTGAGCTGCCTCGACATCCTGATCCCCATGACGGCTGACTTTGCGGTTTCAGACGAGGAGGAAAGCCCGGAGGAGCAAGCCCGTTTGCAACTCTTCTTCCGCTTCCTTTGTGAGTTGTGCTCCGCCCGGTCATGGTCACAGATGCAGTTTGCAACTTTGTGCCCGCAGTTCCTTGCGATTATCTTTCACGACTCGCTGGATGTCCGTCAAGCCGGACTTGCCAAAGCCAAGGAAATCTGGACTGCTGTGCTGGCAGCGGAAAAGATTGTGCATGACTCACCTGGCGCTCCGCTTGTCAGCCAAACCGTGAAGGCGAAATTGGCAACCTGCTTGCGTGAGCTGGCATGGAACCAGCTCTTGCTGGCCAGGGAATCCTTTTCTGTGTGTCGTGCCGGTGATTGGGATCACAGCTTCGGCCAATTGGTCACCTTATGCCATAGACTTTTCGGAAGACCGACAACGACAAAGCATTTTTTGGAAGATGGCTTTGCCCATCTGAGTGACATCGCCAAACGTCACATGAAAGGACAAACCATGCAGAGGTGCCTCGCCCAACAAATTGATTGATTGGAGTCGTTTGAGTCATTGGCATGCAAGTACTATAGCTGCTCGCTCGTTCGATTCGGACCGTTGGATAAAATATGTTACTTACTACTGGCCGTGATTCATCTAGTCTGTTCGATTCATTTCGTTATGTTTTAGGAGAAGTGTTGTAAATTATCTGAGATGATGGAAACTAGAAATGCAAACAAACACAAACGTAAATAACTTCCGTGAGAGTGAGAGAGGAAGAGCACTCGAAGTGAATGTGTTTGTTGTGTGACTGAACGTGTGTGCTTGAGTCCAGTGTGTTCTGTGCCTGTGTGTGTGTGTGCGCGACCTAACCCTGAGACTGAGACTCAGGTGTGCCTGTGTCATGTGTGAAAGGCGACTTGAGAAAGGTGTCCCCGTGTGTGCTTGATCTGAGATTTACTGTGACGGCTGCATCAGATTATTTTATTTGCCGGAAACACTCGTCGGATCCATGGGCTAGTGACGAAACTCGCTGTGCACCGTATTTGTGGACAATCCCTCAAGCCTCGTTCATGTCAGTTCGACACTCTCCGTACCTCAGACCCTGAAACAGACTCACTTAGTCACTTAGTCCCTCTCTCCTCCGTCGCTCGCTCCCTCACTCACTCATGCATTCTTGCTTCCTTCAGCCATTAATTAAGTCTGCCTGTCACCAGAGCCTAATAATCATGAATTATCCTGAACTCCCCATCTAACAGTTTAATATCCCCGCCGACTGTCCGGCCTCAGGTGGACCAAGTATCTCTGCACGATGGGCGCTCCATCGACGAGGAACAGCGAATGGCCTCAGGTTCGCCAGACTGCGGAAGAATTCAGGTCGATTCACAGGGACAGGGCGACACAGCCTGAGAGCGAGAAAGTTGCCCTGCACAAGAAAAGCTTTCTGGCCGCTCAGCAGCGACTTCCGGAAGAGCTGCAAGAGTTTCTCAAGGAGGACAAGTTGAGCAGCAACATTAAGAAGGCTGGCGTCGAGTCCAACCAGAAAGCAACGGCTGCTACTGCATGGGTGTGCCAGCACGTCAACCGATGGGACTTGGCACCCATGGCTTGGGCAGGCCGGGCGGGTTTCAAATGCTCGGGCAACCACGTGTTCCTGAAGTTTAATACTGTGTGCTTTCAAATTTTGGCCGTGGCATCAATGAATAGTAGACATTAGTTAAATTAGTCGCCAGCTCAGGATCAAATGCAAATACAGCAACAATACACAAGTAGTTCGGACCCTAACGCCTATGATTATCAGCTTGATTGAATCGAATTCATCTCGATGGTCAGATTTGGCACTTTAGGTGGGTGCTGCTAATTTGGGGTCTTGGATTGAACCGAGTACTCGTCTCAGCACTAGATTAAATTAGACTAGGAGTCTATTCCTGGCATGTCTAAACTGAAACACATGTGTTCGAGTTTTCAAGTAACTGCCTAACGATGACACCGGTTCGAGGCTAGGCTGTAACTTGGGTGTGGCCCATCTGATGCGATCCGAGGTGTTTTTCTGAAGAAAGGATGCATCTTCCAGAACCCGGAGAACTCCACCGCCATGTTGAGCTTGGGATTTCGCACATGGGGTGCACTTGGCATCCGACTGAACAAGTTCGAAGTCGATGGCAAGGCCAGGATTTGCACAGCTGGGTATCGAAATCGGGAATGCAGGGTGATGCTTACACTGTTACACGACTTAGGTTTCAGACTAAGTGTATGGCTTAGGTTCGCTGTCTTAGTTTAGTAGTAACTAATTTTAACGCATAATAATTAGTAAGTTTAATGAGTTTCAGTGTTTGAACATGTGATATCATAGACTATATCGCTACCATCATAAATAAATGCGTCTTAAACAGTTAGCTCATTTACTGAAGACGAACTCAGAAGGTGTTTTTCACGCTCCCTACCATGTCGATGTCGGGAATCACACTCCCGACGTGGATGTTCAACCATGGTCTGGGCCCAGACAGCCCCTGGCGGTCCGTGCCGTTCAAGGTCTGCACCCCAAGGTGTGTGCCGGCGGCACTCGGCGCAGATTACTGTTCTGTGCTGGTGCAAACTGGCGATGCAGAGGACATCGTCGTTGGTGGACTGCGTGCCGGGATTTTTCTCACCAAAGACCAGCTTCAACTTATGTGGCAAGCCTTCAAATTCGAGCTACCGCCAAAAGGCCACGGAAGTGGCAAGAGCGGAAACTTGATCAAGCAGGACTTCGCACGGGGTGTGTTACGGCACTTCTTTCCGGATTGCGATGAGTCGAGTGAAGAATGGCTGTTCATGCTCCGGGGAATTTTGGGCACCATTCCGAAGCCATCCTGCAGCGACGACGTCCTCACAGCTGTGGCTGCTCTGGACCCCATTGCACAGGAAGATTTCAAGGAGATGAAGAAAGCAGCCAAAAACCAGCGACATTGCCAGGAGGGTGATGTCAAAGGCAAGAAGCGCAAAGCAAAGGATGATGATGCAGCTGAGGGACTTCCCAGCAAGTCCACGGCTCGAGACCCGGCGTCTGTGGGCAGTCCTGGGCGGCGAGCTGCTGGATCAGGGGTTCAGCAGGAGCGGAAAACATACACACCTGGAGAGCTTCAAGACCTCATTCCCGGAAAAGGCAGTTTGGCAGGAGTCTACTTGAAAAGGCTTCCGGGCGGTGCCAATGGCAAGTGCTACCAAGGGTTTTATCCACCTGGATCAGGCCGGTGACTGCCGAGCCCAAACACCGAACCCCAACACCCCTCCAGATTCGACTTGACATTAATGGAACTGTTTCAGAAGTCTTGTCGCTTAGTTAATAATTAATATATTTTCTAAGCAGACGTTTTGAAACAAGGTTTAAGGCCAGTGGGTTTTCTGTGGGTCGTCACGGCTTCCGGTGCACCTGTACAGTACAATCGAGAGGACATCCTGTTATCCAACTAGATTCTCAATCTCCTGATTCACTGGTTCACTGATGCTTGTCAAGTCAAACTCACCCTCGACCGCACCCCTAGGTCCTAAGTTACTGCATGAGTCAACAGTTCCAAGCCCTGTGCAGCGCAGGCGACGAGAATCAGAAGAAGTCCCTCACCTCGACGTGGGGCGGTTCGCGAAGAATGTTAACAGAAAAGGAGGCTTTGATGGAAGTCCTTACATTCATGTGGCAAGCTCACGGCGTGCGAAATGCGACACATTCCGATCAACAACGGCACCTCGATTGCGAATGAAAGCCCGCCTCGCCAATAGTGTCTATTATCAATGAAATCTGTGCTACTGCTGGGCTGCTAGTTTGCCTGATCTCAAAACCATGGTTTTAGATAGTCTTAGACGAGTTTAAGTTTATGCTGCGATTCCGGCGCCAAGCTCAGGCCTTCCGGGCATGATGTGGACCTGGTTATCTCCGGCTTCGACGAGACTACTGGGGTAATTTCTACTCGTTGAGGCGAGGCACGAGTGCCAAAGGCGGTGCTTCGCTCACAGTCGTGCCATGACTCGACGGCGGCTCGCTGCCAGCACTTTGGATACTTACAACAGTCCGTAAATAAACAAACAATGGATGCTGGCTCGGACCTTTCCCAGATTCCCACTGCAATTTAATCTAAGCCTGAACTCCTGAACCTTATCCTATCCAATCGTAGTGGTCTGCTGTCGTCGTGCACACTGCTTGTGTGTGTGGGTTTTTATTCCACGAGCCCAAATGGGACAAGGTTTTTTCCCACGGCGTCTCACGAGATCAAACCAGAACAAGCACCGGCTTGAAAGCTTGGCAGCTGCTTGAAGGGAGGGTTCTGATTGTAGCCGGGCTCCAGATCCAGTTCCTAGTCCTAATTAACTACTGATCTAGTTTCCCAGATGACCTGAAAATGAGACTCGACGGTTCCAGAGCTAGATCCCCCCAACAGTAACAACCCCCAAAACCCTGGAGCATAACTCGTTATTGTTGGACATTCGGACCCTTGCCTCCAACAGTTCCGTGCTTGATTAATGAAGCAGCCCGATCCCTGCTGGCTTGCGAAACCGCCTGGGCCTGAGCACCAACCCAAACCCAGGGACCCAAAGCCTTGAACCCCAGGTCCGAGGTTTTGTCACTGGGATTTCAGGTTGGGGCTTATGACAATATTATCAAGAAGACGTCGGGGCTGCCAGATTTCAGCTTTGAGCGGGATGCCACCATATTTCCGGTGTTGTCGGTACAGATGCACCTTTTAAAGCTCAAGTTTTGGTACCATTGCCGTTCTTCTCCTTTGTTCTCCTTTGTTCTCCTTTGTTCTCCTTTGTTCTTCTTTCCTCTCCTTTGCTCTCCTTTGCTCTCCTTTGCTCTCCTTTCTTCTTCTTTATATGGCGTTTCCTCTCCTTTCTTCTTCTTTGTTCGCCTCAGTGCTTCCTTCTTCTGAATTAAGTTGAATTAGCTCTCCTTTGTTCGCAGGCCTTTTCCTCGCCCTGAACCCACAACCGTGGGGTAATGCTGTAGCCCCCCCTCTTAACGACTGCATGACTGTGATGCCTGGCGCGACTGAAAGTCTTGCATGGCGGGAACATGAGCACGGCCTGCCAAGTTCCAGTGGCTAATCGACTGTAAACGGAAGCCCAAGCATCAGGGCTCGACCAGTCACCAAGTTCATTATCATTGAAGAAGTGATCAACCTTAAGCTGGATCCCGTTCTTCTCCACGGATTCTTGTAAACACTCATGCACTGATTCAAAAACCTCACGATCTGACACCACCAGCACGTTAAGTCAGCTCTTCTGTTCACTCTTCCCTTCATGCTGAAGCTGCCAATGCTTCCACGTCGGATGGGCTCCAAAGCAGCCCTTGACCTGGCAGCAATGCACCATACCGCAGTTTCCATCACATCCTGGCCCTGAGTACGCGAAGCAGATGAAACGCCCATCGGGCGTCCGCGACGATGTGATGCTCTGAGACTTTCCCGGGCCTTCCTTTCCATCCTTCCCTTTCTTTCCTTCCCCTTTGCCTTTCTTGCCTTTCTTTCCCTTATCGTGCTCGCCTCGCTGAGCCCAAGAGTTGCCTTTCCATGCATTGCGATTCCACTTGTTGCTCTCATCCCAAGGTTCCCAGCTCTCAGTGGCCCGCTTCCCGCGATTCTGCAAAGCAATGGGAGATGTAAAGTACTGCTCCTTGATCTGGGCATCCTCGGTCACCTCACGCAGGGTATCTCGGAGGGGGCGAGAATCCCGGAAAGCACGCTTGATCGCCTCTTTTCGCAATTCGTATTCAAAGTTCAGGACCACCACCCAAGGTGGCCGCAAAGGGGCCTGGTCCAGCTTTCCACCCTTTCCTCCGGCAGGAACCTGCATAAGGTACACCTTCTCGCCCAACAAGAAGTTGACATAGCTCAACCACACCTCAGGTGTCATCTGCGCAAAGAATGGCTTGTTCTTGAACTTGGATGCAAGCATAGTCCACATGTTTCCTTCCACACGCAAGACAGTCCGCAACTCCTCAGTGTGCTGCGGCATCACACCCTTGTTCCGTTGCCTGACAATCCGCACATGCCCGCCGGTGTCCACGGTGGTCTGGATGCCCATTGTTTTGACCCGCTTCTTAGAAGTAACTTCAGAGAGTGAACTTGCTGAAACCTCCCCATTCTCGATCTCCTCTAACTTTGATGAAATGTAATCATCTGACGGTTCGAAGGATTCTTCCAAGGTCCCATGCGCTGCTTCAAAAGCTACTCTCATGGCCTGCTTCTCAGTCTGAGTGACAGGCCTGTTCACTCCCAACATGCGTGCCTCGGCCCTCAGCTCCGACTCTTTGCTCGCGTACTCCTTTGAAGTCTCCCAGGCCGAAACCACTGAAGCGACTGCCGCCCGCGTCTCCTGATTTGTAGCCTCCAAAGTGTGATCATCCTTGAGCGCAGTCCGCACATCTGCCCTCGAATCTGCATAAGTCGAGAAACGCTTCACTGACTGGAAATTCTGGGAAAGCCGGTACTGCAGCCCCAATGGCACACCACATTCTTGAAAGATGTGCACCAGATCAGAGCTGACATTCTTATCAAGAAAGTCCATTGCCGCAGCTTGGTCGACTCCCGTTGGGAGCCCGGTCGCCATGATCGCACAGAGGAAGAAAGAGCGAGCTCCTAGCACATGTCAGCATGAAACATGTTTCAGAGAAATTTCGTCATGACATCACATCCTCACTCTCTCACTTGAACAACAAGCGAGATCCGGATTCATCACTCGATGCACTCCACCGGCATCTTCACTCAATCGCATGTGACTGTGCTCCACCGACAGCCTGGACAAAGCTCTACTGCTGCATTCCACCCGCAGCCCCTCAAACCTCAACTGCTGCATTCCACCCGCAGCGTGAGCTTCACACTTGAGCACAACCTTCATTTTCGAATCACACGCAGCACAATCCCACTGCTCATTCATGGAAATCTGGGAGCTCCGCAGCAGGGCTTCCCGGCTCCCCTGGATTGGCCTGTGTTTCCTCCGATCCGCTCGTTGATGAATCTCCTGCTTGATCCGCCCTTGGCTTACAGAGCTTACACATTGCATCGGCAATCCCTTCCGACAACTTGAAAATCGGGATGGTCTCCAGACAATTCTCGCGCCGCACCGCGCACTTCTTCGAAAGATGCAAGCGACGAAAGCCCTTTCTGGACACCGTGACAAAGTAAGGTGCCTCGTCCTGATCCACCTCCGCATCGAACTCTTGGTATGCTCCTGGCAGTGATGCTTCCATGTCGCCTGCAGCAGCCCGCACTCTCTCAGGCGACACACTTAAGCAAGGAAAGGCACCGCCCAGCTTCCAAGTGCCCTCGGCATCGTCCCATTGAAGAACAGAGCAAGCCCGAACCACCGAGTCACCACTCAATCCAGACGCTTCTGCAAAAGCATGCAATTCGCAGAACAGTTCCTCTTCGGAGTAACTCCCCTCGGCTCTGCCTGCAAGTAAGCATCTGCACACGAAGTTCTGAATCCCCTGAACGACCTGGCGAGAGGTCAGCACATAATCCTGGGATCCATGCTGCGCGTAGGCCCAGCGCCCGAGGTAATCACGTTGGTCCTTCTTAACTCCGAGCGCTGCAGCAATGCTAGTCAAGACATGCCTCGCACTATGTCCTGTCCAAAAGGAGACAACAGCCCCTTGGAAAAGCAACTCACGGGAAACCTTCCAAACCCCTTGCTGCCGCACAGGAGTGGGCAAATGCCGAAGGAGCCGTCGCAGCTGCAATGCCAGACCTTCTGCATCCATGTAGCCCCTCGAGGGCAGATCCCACTCGCTGCTGAATGCAGGACACAAGAAGTCACGCGACCAAGAGAGCAATTCGCTGTTCAGGAGCTTCACTCCCTCCCCTAGCCAATCAAAACCACTAAGCCCAGCAAGCCGAGAAACAAACCCGTGAAGTTCCCCGACCTTCCGGCCAGGACCGCTCGTCTTCGTCTTGCGAAGCACGAAGCGCAGGCCCACTTGGCTAAGTTTCAAGCTTTCGGGGTCAATGTTCTGAACATCATCGCAACGCATGCTTGCCCAGATCATAAGCAATAAGACAAATGCAGTGAAGCGAAGCCCTAGCTCATACACTGGTCTGCAGACTACCATCTCACATGCAAGGATCACTGCAATAGGCAGCAGCGGTGCTGCCTTCACGGCTGGGCCCCCTGCCTCGAGCTCGGCCGTCCATGATCTCACGCTCTCGATCAACAAGGGGTCTTCGCTGAGCCGTTCTTCAGAAGCAACCATTCCCACTGTCTCCAGCAATGATAAACTTGCCATGATCGAATTCGGCACAGTCTTCCCCAGTGGCACGTTGCCATGCCTCTCTTCCAGGTACTTCAAGACCATCGCTGCCGAATCGGGCCAAGTTTTGCCATATGACGTCATCAGCCAGTCCCGGAGTGGTTTCCACGCCCTCGCACGATTACGCAAGGTCTTTCCCCTGCGACTTCCGAACACTCGCAGCCACTGTTGATTTCTGTCGCCCAATGCCTCCATCCGGGCTGCACACGGTAGCTTAGATTCTTTGATGTAGCCCACGAGTTCAAGCGCCCACCGCTCCTTGAGCCGGGCTTCCAATTCCTCGCGATTCCCACCAGCTTTGCTCACCCGCACTGCACGTTGAAGCAAGGCGACTGCTACAGCCGGCGTCGTGCTCACGACCTCATCAAAGACATCTTGCATGCTCACCCCAGGCCTTGGCACCTGAACTGGCAATTCCGGCAATGTTCTCTGCAGCAGACGAGATGTTGGCGGCTCCCTCCGCTGCCTTTTCTCCCGCCATTGCCAAAGTGATGTAGAGATACGATCCACCTCTGCTGAAGGCTTTTTATCTCCCAGTAATTCGGCAACCAGCACTGCTGCACCTGCCTCATCTTCAAAAGCACCGTCGAACTGTACCAAAGAATGATAGCACTTCTGAACTTCGCAAGCCAGTTCTTCACTAACAGCAGTTAGACCACGCCAGTCGGCCGGCCTCTTCTCCGGAGGCATGCTGGCATGAAGCCCAGCCCATCGCTGAGCCAACGGTCTACTGCCCCCCACTCACAAAATTGTCTCGGACCCGAATTGGCCACGGAGGAGAATCATTCGTTCGGCAGAACTCCCAGCTGTGCAAACTCAAGGCCGTTGGCAACCGAATGCAAGCAAAGGAATAAGCGAAGTGCAATCGAGAAAATTCCATTTCATTTTCTTACACAACTTTTCCCCCGGCCCACCCGCCCGGCTCAAACTACGAGACAATCCTTTTGGGAAACCCAAACGGTAATGCCAAAGATACCAAAGGACGTACGCCGGAAGTCGTATGCATTCAATGTCCGCACGTCAATGTACAGAGAATGTACAATGCACCAATGTCTTGACTATGCACTTGAGGACATGCACAAAGCTGAATGCCACACCACACAGGGCGGGCGGGCGGGGCGTTTCATGACCTTTCTCTGCTCGAGCAGCTTTGCGGCTAGATGTGCAGCAAGGATGAATCAACAAGCGTTAGATAAGAAATGTAAAACAGTTTTGAGCAAGCACAAAAAGCGTTCTACATTCCCATCTAGCCGCAAAGTCTACTCCCACAAATTTCTATCAATCATATATAAACATATTCACCATATGCGTATCAACATCGCGAGTCGATCCTCTCCTTTTTGGCGGTAAGACACTTCGTGCAGCAGCAGTATGTCCAATGCAGATGCAAGAATGTGTACGAACGCCAGAACCGAAAACTGCCACAAAGGAGAGGTCGGACTCGCAAGCTCTGCACTCCCACTACTGAAACGTGAGGCCGACTGAGCCTGAGTGGGCGTTGTGCCCGAAGATGCGTCACCGCATGCAGTATAAGTTCACAGCAAAGCCTAGTCAGTAAACATACAACAGCAAAAGTGATCCATGATCAATGACGCTTCACGTGCACAGCAACGTTACCTAGTTGTTGGCCATTCACTCTCGCGCGTCACACTGGCATATGCCATGCATTTGTTAGCACCGCCCTCAGGGGAACGCATGTGCTCACGGGGGAAGGCAAGCCGACCGCGCGCCGTGAGTGTCGAACCCCGACGATGATGCACGTCGGTACCGGTATTGCAGGAACCCCAAGAGCCCACGGGGGAAGGCCAAGCCGACCGCGCACCGTGAGATGTTGAACCTGCCCGATGCCGCGTGCTTACACGCTCTGCTCACTGAAGGACGACACAGGCGGCTGCCATAGCAGCTTAGCGTCTTGCGGGAAAACACGCACATCTCGCTCACCCTCCCACAAGACTGTGAGTGGGCATCGCACCCGATGATCCGAATGGAACCGGGAAGGAAGTTCCTTCAAGTCGCCTTTCCACCTGCTCAAGAAATCAGAACTATCATCGTGACAACCTGCGATGTGTGTACAATCGAGAGAGATGCCAGACTGCCAACTCCGTGTGGCCAGTTTTTGAGCGAAGAAGCACAGCGGTGTGTGTACTGTGAAGAGCTTGTTTGTCAAGGATTCGGTTCCTGTGTTATCCGACCAAGATGGGATGCACACCCGAAGCCGCCCGGTAGGAGTAATGGAAATGAAGGCTATCAAGAGAGCGAGTTGTGCAAGCGTCTCATATGCCGTGATGTCCAAATTAGCATCATCCTTCATAGGCAACCCCAACGAACGGAAGTCTTGGACCGTAAACCACTCGGAAAACCAAACGATGGGCTGATTCGGCAATTCAACCCATCCGCCAATCCCAATGTCGTTGCCCTTAGCACAAGCATCGGCAGCTAAGGAATACTGAAACAAACAGCGGGGCATCTGAGGCCGCATGCAAAAGTGCACCCAGAACATGATAAACTGTCTGCTCACTGTGCTGATGCGACGCTTGCTGGATGACGCATCCGCCACACGAATCCAGATCCGCTTGCCTGTGGCCCTAACCAGACGCAAGTCGGCTTTGCACTTGATCTCCACATGTCGTGCACTCAACAACTTGCTTCCTGGGGGGATGGTCGACCCTGGTGGCGATTTTCGGAAATGCAAATCATCAGTCAAGGTATCCGCTAACTGTTGCCAGGCACCCGCATGCAAGGAAAAATTTGTGCCCAAGGGACGAGACATGTCGTGATACAAGCAGCACAGCCACGGTAGCAACTCAGGCGACATCTGCAACACCCAGTGAAGGAGACCGATGAGAGTCTGCAAATCACGCGCTTGGTGCAAGGATCGGACCGGAGCACTTGCATCAGGCTTTGCAAAAGTTTGGCCACCTTGGAATCGGGCAGACAAAACGTCCCTGCGCGGAAATTAATCCGCCAACCAATATATTCAAGCTTGGGCCCCAACTGGAGTTTACGCCAACTGATCGGGTATCCAAACGATTGTGAAAATGCCACCATCAAGAGCGCGGAAAACTCGATGGCCGAACTGTGCTGAAGGAGTAAAGCGTCGTCCACGTACATAAGTAGGACGTGGCTGATGAAGATCAGGCGATGGCCGGTGCGAACATAAAAGCCCGCTACGCGTTGCCACCACAACGCTGAAAAAGAACCTCCGAATGGTGCCACTTTATAAAAATAGTACTTGCCGTTGACGCAAAATCCAAGTAATCCTTGTTCACTCGCCCGAATCCGAACGGTTTTGTGGGCTGCCTGTATGTCTAACGTGCAAGCGGCTATACAGCCCGAGACCCCCCTGAGGGGATACACTGCCCGGATGTCCCCCAGACCTGGGAGAAGAAAGCGCTCAGGCAAGTGGCAGCTAGGGTTAACCCCGCTAACCGATGGGTCGACAATTAGCCTAGGATCTCTAGAACCACTTTTCACTACGTTTACTTTCCCCACAGCGACGCGGGCCCATTTGGCTTGGGCCTCTTCGAGAGAATCGAAGACGTGCACGTAGCCCTTGTCCACCTCTTTTTGCACAAGTTCCGCCAGTAACTCTGGCTCCTCATTGGCCCCGGGCCAGTTGCCCGAACACACTTGCACATCAAAATCGTCTGGGTCGAAATTTGCTGGGGTGGGCAAGAAACAATTGCTCAAGGAAATGTCACCGTCAACTCCCGTTGGTACCCCAGCTTGCAAATCATGCCAAAGTGCCACATCACGGCCCTCGAGGGCCTTGCTCAGAAGCTCAAGCGCATTGAGGCAGTAAGGCTGGTCGGGCGCGATCTCCCATGAAACTGAATCCGTGAAGCCCTGAGCTCTAAACCAATCTTCCCAAATTGCTCGTAATGCTGGGAGTTCATGCTGCTGAATGAGTGGCTCTTGCGATGACTCGCTGACATGTTTGCGAAGGCGATCAAAAAGTTTATGCTGTTTGAAAAAACCCCACATATCTTGACGCAACTGGCGGAAAGTGTCCTGGTGTCCCGCCGGTGGAGACGTCCAGTCGGGCTGGCTGTAAATGCCGCCGCCATCCTGTTGGCCAGTCGGGAAATCATTCAAGGGGCGAACCGGCAAGGCGGAAAGTGCCTGATGCAAGGACGTGAAGCCGGTAGCTTTCGTGTTCACTGGAAACAACGGGCTAATGGCCTCCATGAACGCATTGCACAGCATGGGAGGGAACACCGCTGTATAACGAGACACGAACTGGCCTGTGGCGTCACGTTTGCCGTGAAACACATCATGATGACCCGCCGCGTGCCGGCAAGCGCTTTGCAACTGTTGTAAAGGTCGCCAACTTGTGGCGAAGGCCCAGTGCTTTGCATAGTTCGAACCATAGCTGCAAGCTGCCACCTGAATCACATCAGCCTCGATTTCCAGCAGCCAGGCCTGTGTCACGGGCTCGGCCCATGCCATAGAATTCCGAGGTTGTTCCAAGCTTACGTGATTACCACTCTGAAACACAGCGTGCAAAATCATGACTGCCCGAGACAACAGAAGGTGGCTGGACTGAACACGCCCTTGGGCTTCGGCATTATTGGAGGGAAAGCCTCCCAAGCATTCCCATGATCGGCAGGGTGCCGGTCCGCCATCAAACCGCTTCACAATGCTGTAATCGCTGCAAGGAGGGGATGCATGTGCAAACGCCACTGCACCCGAGTGGGCCAGCTTCAAGAGACCATCGAAGATGCGATCATCGCGTAAGTCTTCTTCCTTTTACATGCCCATCCCCGACGTGCGGCCTCCTGACAAAATGGTGCACCTGCACCCGCGAAAAGATCCAAGAAGAAAAGAGGGCGATGCTGTGTGGCCACCACCGGTGGCAAGACCGACATTGGCGCGGTGGAATTAACCGCTGATGTGGCAGCCGACTCCTGTGTCGGCGACGCAGGAGGAAGTTGCGCCGGAGATACCTCCGGAAAACCAAGTTTGGCTAACGTTCCCTCCGGCACATGGGGCAACGTGTAACAAGTGATGGACCATCTATTACCCACAAACGGCATGGTTTCATGCCAGGCACAAGCTGGAAAAGTAACGGGATTCCGAAACGTCTGAACTTCTTCGCCCTTGATCCAGTGCTGGCTGCCTGGTGGCTGGCGCCACAAAGTGCCTGTTGCTGACTCCAGCCACAACGCACCCCCCTGAAAGTCCCCAACGGAGACATTCAGATTCAAGGAGCCCTCACTGTTCGCTAAGTCCTGGTGAAGGCTAGCTGCGCGGTTGAGATTTATACAAATCGAATTCCAAACTTGATCCGGCCAAAGAACCTTAAACAAGGCATTCAAACGGCGAACTACATCGGGCTTATCTTGGGTGATAGAAGTAAGGACCGCGGGCTCTGAGGGCCTAACCCCAAAATTCCAGTAACCGGTTCCGTCGTTGTCGCACGGTTGCAACACAGCCCTTGCTGTATGGCACGACGGCCAATCCACGGATTGCAAAATATGCAAGATTGTGTCACATGCATCTGACACGGCAGACGACGGGTCTGCCACTGCGGCACATGCGGCATTTGACACAGAGCTCGGAGCATCCACTGCTGCGGGCACCGGTGGGACTTCAGAAAACGTGGCCAGGGCGCTACCTGACGAATCGCATGGTGGAAAACCAGAGAGAGGGAGATTGGACTCCTCAGCATCAGATTGTGGCTCAAAGCAAACAGTATGGCCAGTGTGCATGGGTTCACATGCCTCAGCCGCACGTATGACCGACATGTCTGCGTCCGCAAGAACAACGCCCGATTGGGGCGACTCCAGGGGCTGAGACATGCACCCCGCCTGTCAGTGGGGCGTTTGCTTGTGCTCGGCTGGACTGTGATCCCCGAGACACATGCGATTGTTTGGCAAAATCACACCGCACACATGCTCGAACTTGCATTGATCGCGATTGCACTTGCCCTGCTGAAAACCAGAACACAGAAGACGCCTGTTCTTGCCGTCCATCCACGAGGTGCCCACTCGCAATCCATGGACCATCAGGGTATGACGCTGGGAACCTTTACCATCCTTAGTACCGCCCTTAGAACCCTTATCCCCTTTGCCGCCCTTGCCGTGGGACCCCTGCTTGCCATCACCTTTGATGCGACGCGGTTGCCACGGTAGCCACGGAATTTTAGGTGCGACGGCCCTCGGCATGAGCAACACATGAAGCTCGTTGCGAGCAACAACAACCTCGCGTATCGCCTGATCCATTGTCCAGTTCTCTTCATTGAACAACACCGAGATCTGTTGCCAAAGCTGTTTCTCTGCAGTCTCGGCCTCCAACCTGTTCGGCACCCGCAACCCCGCATCCCGAGGCAAGTGATCGAAACACTTGGCGAGAAATTTTCGGTTCATCTCCCGCAAGGTATAGAGGTGGGCACCATCAGCTAGTGCAATTGCCACTGCTTGCAAATGAAGCAACTCTGCCATGACGCTCTTGGCCATGCCCTGCGTGGGCAACTCTCTACTGGGTATCTCCTCCCATAGCAGATTTTCTAACCGCGGGGCCTTAAGGGAACGCTCCAGGGACTTAGAATCATATTGCTCCTCTGACAGTCGCAACTTCCACGGTATCCATCGCCACCGCTTGTCCTGCAGCTGCTGATGAACCAATGACAGAAGTCGTGGTGATGGACTGAAAGACTTGACCATTTGGCGGACGGTGTCGCCACTGAGACGTTTTGGGAACGCCTCAGACCACGAAGCCTGCTCGGCCATTGCACCTGTGCTCCCCATGGGAGTGGTCTGGGGAGGATCCGGTTGCAAGGTTGCACCCGACTTTTGGCACTTCCGCCACAAGAGGCGAATCCTAGCCTTCACCAACAGATCAGAGGGCTCAGCAGGGTACGTGATGCCATCTAAGAACTCCTGAATTTCTGCTGCAGACAGAGACCCGGACTCATCCGGGGCAAAGACGGACAGATCCTTCCAGATAGGCTCCGGGATGTCCGAGCCTTCCAATAAGGCTCGCATCGGCTGGACCTGTTCATTTGCTGCTTCTGAGAAAGCGAACATGGGGTTGGGTTCTGACATCGCCAGCAGCAGGCCTAAACAGTGTTTTTTAGCGGTACGTTGAGGATAAGTGCAAAAGAACCAAATGTGTTCGGTAAGCTCGCGTATGTTAGATAAGAAACCTCGTGACATGACTGTAAGCAACATGACAGGTCCTACCATGAACAACTGAGCCGACAACTTACCTGTGTGGTGTTCACTGACCAAGGCTCACTCACAACACATGCCCTGCAACTGACTTGAGAGGCCTAATGCATGAAAGAAAATTCATTCACACAGAACAAGTGTCCTAAACAAACACTATGCATACGTCTTTTTTGGGCAATTCCGATAGACAAGAGATCGGTGCGCTGAGCTTCCAGCTGGGCCTAGCATAAAGGCTTGCCCGGTTCGACAAAAGCAATCGTCACAGCGTTGCAACGCCTTATGAGCACGCAACTCAGGAGTTTCTCCAGTTCGGCACCTACGATCACCGAACGAGTTTCGCAAAATGTTTCCAGGAAGGATGCGACTGGTGTCCAGGACTTCAGTCCCCACCACTGGTGTCCAGGGCTTCAGTCCCCACCAGAAGAAACCCCCAGCGCGGTGTCCAGGCCTACGCCCCCACCGGCTGCGTGTCAAGACCCAAAATGGGCTGACAGACGGGCACACCGCCCCCAAGGTGTCCAGGGCCCGAGCCCCCACCACTGATATCCTCATCCCTCTCAAAATTCGCATTGCATAGCGATCTGCAAAGCCCAAAAACCCGAGCCCAACTCTGTGCTCACAGCTGAAGCGGCTTCTTATCCGGCTGACGCAAAAATCTTATGGCAAGCTGGATGACGGCATAGCCTGGACCCGGATGCGAAGGACATGGACAGCTTAAGATTCCTGCACAACGTGCCACATGCCGGACGCACGAGACCTGCCTTGCCAGGAGTGCCATGCGATGAAGGCATGGCCACGTGCATGACTTATCAAGTAACCAAACTCCTCTGGAGCACCCAAAGATCCCGCATCAGATTCCGAATCGGAAGAAACCAATGCATGTTCGGCATAAGATGCAGCACCTTCCGCCTGCGAATCCGCAACCGCCATTTCGGCCTGCGGAACCAAAGCGGGCTCGACCTCCGTGGAGGGCGCACTCGTGCCCGCTGTATTCTCAGGCACCGAAACATGCACTGTACCGAAAATAGGCGGAATCTCGAGAGAGAGAGAGCGAGAGAGAGAGAGAGAGAGAGAGAGAGAGAGAGAGAGAGAGAGAGAGAGAGAGAGAGAGAGAGAGAGAGAGAGAGAGAGAGAGAGAGAGAGAGAGAGAGAGAAATCGACTCCTGGGAAGGGTTAAGACGCAAACGGGGCATGGGGCTCCGCAAGCGTCATGGCCCCATGCGAAGCAGAGCAAACGCAGCAGCGGCAGCAGCAGCAGGAAGATGATGGAAGCGTGAAATCAACAGTATGCGATCCGAAAGCCGTGGTTTGATGATTTGCAAAGCAGGACATCCTCAACACACGGTGCTAGGAGGTAAGCGGCGGGAGTCCTGAGGAGATGGGCCTTGCTGAGCATCATGCTGCTTCCGGCTATTTAACAAGGGGTGCCAGGCGTAACCCTCCAGCAGGGATGTAGCCTGATGCAACTGTGATCGACCATCTTATCCACCGATGACAACAAGGTATAGCCCGAGCCAACGGGCACCACCACTTCCACCTGGGAGAGTACGATGTCGCAATGGGGCGTCGCCATGCTGACCTCCACGTCTGAGCTTAGTAGTCGGCGAGCGGGGAGCACCATTGCTGCGACCCGGTTGTGGGAGAGGGGAGCACCATTGCTACGACCCAGGTGAGAGGGTGGGTGATTGCAATGCGGGGAGCACCATCGCTACGACCCGAAATACAGCAAACGGGGAGCACCATTGCTACCACCCGTGGACGTGGAAGGGGAAAGGGGGTGGGGCGGGTTAAGTCAGGCCGTACCATACCGCGAGGAATGTGCAACTTGGTGTCTTCCAGTAACTCAGCCGTGTCCTTCCCTCCCAAGGTACTTGTATGATGTTATCAAAGCTCCGTCCGTGGCCAGGTAGGGAAGTGGAAGTAGGTGAGAATCCCCAACTTTCTTGCTGTCCGCGGTAATGAATACACGGCGAGTGACGACTGGCAGTTTGCTTTGGAGTCTGTGGCACAGTGTCAATGCCTGATTCAGCATCCGATCGCCCCGGTATGACCGACGTCGTGCGGCCGTCTGTTTCCAAGAGCGCATCGAAGACTTCACGCAGCGTGTCGTCGGTAGCTCTTTTCCATCGCTGCCACTCAGCCTAGATGGGACTGCACAAGAATGTCCAGTCTCACCTGTTGGCACTGCTCCCAAGACGCACACTCTCGACAGACATACGTAAGGAACCAGGGCCTCTTCATTCGACTATAACGGTGCAACAACACGACCACCTGAGAGTAATCGATCATGACCTTCCTGGGAGTAAAGCATGCTGCATGTAAATGTACGGCACTTTCGCCCTAGTGCAACTGGATGGGGGAAAGGGGGGTGCTCGTCGAGTCGCCAACGACTCTTAGTGCCGCCCCGGGGGTCCACACCCTTTCCAGCACCAGCCCACCCAGCAAAGACAAGCACTAGGCCCCGGGGAGGCGGAATCTCAAAAAAAAAAAAAAGGTGGGACGGCTTGTAAAGTGCACAACGGTTGCTGAGGAACCGAATGAGCCGCCCCCCGCTTCTGCGGCGCAGGAGGTAGCCATCCGGCCTTCACCGCCGTGCAGACAACAGCCTGAGCTCTGAGCGCCCCCACGGTGTCTGATCTGCTGTATATAAAGCAGCGCTGTCGAGGCGATGATGCCCCGCTGAGAGCCTGTCCTCCTTCCCCACTGCACGAAGGTGCATAAGATACAGCAAAGAAGATTTCAACGAGTGCAAAGTGAAGAGTGTTTCGCTCCCAGTGGCCCAAGCACCTGACGCCACACACCACGAGCGCAGCACCCTCAACGATTGTGCATAGGATAACGGCGCGAAATCACCTGCAGCTTCGTCAAAACGAAACCAAACACAGTCGGGGTCAATGCTGTCGCCATGCATAACACGCAGTCGATGCCATACTTCACCAAGCGCAACTAGCCAAGCTGAAACCCACGTAAATTCCAAAACATCGGCAGTGCCATGAAACCCCATAACCCCCGCTGCAAGAGGCATGCCCCTGCGCGTAGTTTTGGTCTTGTACGCCTCTGCCCTGATGCAATCGGAACACACTTCGAAAGATGACCAACGAATGCGCTGGGAGTCCGACCACCTCAAAGAGGCGTGTGCACACAAGAGCAAAGCACCTGCATGACATCTGTCCTGCAAAGACAGCTGAGCTTCCAAAAGCATCACTTCGCAATATGAAAGAAGTCTTATCGGCGCTGGGTACGATTCTCTGTGTGGTTGCACTCGAGGGGCAAGCAACATGGCCACAAGACCGTTGTAGAGATCAGGCAAGGGCAAATTGAGCATGCGACGGAACCATCGCAGGGCTTTGATGGTGTTGACGGGCTGAAAATCAGCCGCCGTGTGCCCGCGGTGGGTCGCCCAAAGCATATCAACCAATTGCGCCTGATTAAGCCGATCCATCGTCGGCAACTCAAGCTCGTGCCCTGTCCTTAAAACCGCTAAGGCTGCCGTCATGTAACGCAAAAGTGTGGAAGGCGCCAGAGTGTTGAAGAACTTTTCAGTAAGCAAGAGCTCATTCGTGGAGCTCGACATCTGAAGCAGCACATCAGAGTGTTCCAACACAATCGGCTTGAGGTCTAACCATAAAGCCTGAGCCAACTGAAGCTTCTTGGTGTCATGCTGCACTGCAAACTCAACAGTCCCACTGCCCTTGGTAGGCCTAAAAGTCGGCCCCGAAGGAATGCTGCCACGGCCTGCTGCATCATGCCCCGCTGCAACTGCGAGACAAGGGTGCTGCTGGGGCGGGCGAATTGCGCGCTTACATGTCGGCCTAACAAATGCATTACCTCGAGGCTGTGGATCTGCTGTCACCGAGCGCTCGTGATGGAAAAGGGTCCTGGAGGCCGGTGATGAATGCATTGCGGGACGGGGAGCAGGACTAAACCCGAGGCCTTCCATACTGACCTGCTGCAACATTGTCGGCCGCGTACAAGGTCGAGGAGACGCTAAACCTGTAGGACGGGTAGCCCGGGCTGGCTCAGGTAGCTTCGTGCGCTTCAAGGGTTGCATGTGCACAGGGCGGGGTGCAGGCTTATCCGAAACCCATAAGCCCTTACTTGAGAAGATGCGCTGTGGTGCCAGTACTTCCTCAGATAAAACCCACTCGAAAGAATCCAAATCAAATGAGGAGACACTTGGTGCCGCAGCAGGCACGAGGGCATCCCTGTCTGCATCATTTGAATCTGCTATGGAAACTGCCTTAAGAGCGGAAGCATCTCGCTTGAGAATACGAGCAGCACGCCGAGCCCAAGGCGTGGTAGCACTGCCCTGTGATTCCGACACATATGGCAATGGAGCTGCCACCTGGGGATGCTCCCTGCTTGTGCAATCGGCCGGCGCATCGGGAGCATTTGCCGCTGGAGCCGCATGTTGTCTATCCTGCAAAACCTGTTCAAGCAACAGAAGTGCCATGCGATCACAAGTTGTCCCGAAGCTGGCTAAAAATTGATCGCAGATGTTGTATGAACTGCTCCAACCAAGAGAGGCGCCACTCGGAAACCTCGCGCGTGGACTCAAGTGACTGGATCCTTTCCTCAAGATATGCTGTCGTATCAGTTAAGATTTGATTCTGCTCCCGCAACTGATTCAGCTGAATCTGCAAGTCAAACACGTGGCAAGAGATCACTGATACTGTGCTAACAGACGAACTCGGAGGATCACTAACCGGGCTTGCAGCACCGGACAAAGGCTCTGCCATGCGCCGCCCCCCCCCCCGAGGAGGCCAACTCTCTACTAAGCAAGTTCAATGCAAAGAAAAAGCACATGTTGCCATACTGAAACGCGATCAAAACTCATGAGTCGTTGTCTACCAAAAAGAGCTCCAGGACATGCA